TACTTCAATTTTTTTTTTGTTTTGAAGAGGAATTCTGGATTAACTTAGGTCTGTGGCAGTCCAGTCCAGTCCAGTTTTGTGTTGGGAGAGTCCAGTGGAGTCCAGTCCAGTCCAGTTTTGTGATTTGCAGTCCAGTCCAGTCCAGTCCAGTCCAGTTTTGTGCTTGCAATCCAGTGGAGTCCAGTGGAGTCCAGATTTGTGGATATTGCCAGTATGTAGTGAAGTCCGGTGGAATCCAGTGGAATCCAGTGGAATCCAGTGGAGTCCATGTGGATGATGTGGGGGATGGTAAAGTACTGCAGGAGCAGCCTGAAGCCGTGTTGAGAAGTCTCGTGAGGGTGTGAAGTGCTTAGTAAGATAAAGCTGAATTTGTCAGCCATCAATCCTTTGTGTTTTCATGTATAGATGTCAATTCACATGAATTCAATGTCAATTCACATAAATTCAATGTCAATTCACATGAATTCAAATGAATTCATGATCAATTCATATGAATTCAAGTAGTCTTTTATAGTGTTTGTAGTCTATCTATTGAACTTGAAGTCTATTCCGATGTTTTGTAGTTACTTTTGTAGTCTTTTGGTGTGTTTATAGTCTATTTATTGGGTTTGTAGTCTATTCCAATGTTTCTATTAACTATCCAATGTCAATTCACATAAATTCAATGTCAATTCACATGAATTCAAATCAATTCATGATCAATTCATATGAATTCAAGTAGTCTTTTATAGTGTTTGTAGTCTATCTATTGAACTTGAAGTCTATACCAATGTTTTTTAGTGACTTTTGTAGTCTTTTGGTGTGTTTCTATTAACTATTCAATGTCAATTCACATAACTTGAAGGTCAATTCACATGAATTAAAATGAATTCATGATCAATTCATATGAATTCAAGTAGTCTTTTATAGTGTTTGTAGTCTATCTATTTGGGTTTGTAGTCTATTCTGATGTTTCTATTAACTATTCAATGTCAATTCACATGAATTCAAATGAATTCATGATCAATTCATATGAATTCATGTAGTCTTTTATAGTGTTTGTAGTTTATCTATTGAACTTGAAGTCTATTCCGATGTTTTGTAGTTACTTTTGTAGTTTTTTGGTGTGTTTATAGTCTATTCCGATGTTTCTATTAACTATTCAATGTCAATTCACCTGAATTCAATGTCAATTCACCTGAATTCAATGTCAATTCACTTGAATTCAAATGAATTCATGATCAATTCATATGAATTCATGTAGTCTTTTATAGTGTTTGTAGTTTATCTATTGAACTTGATGTCTATTCTGATGTTTTGTAGTTACTTTTGTAGTCTTTT